ATCTTTGCCGTTTCTTGAACATTTCTGAGTGAGTTGTCTCTAAATTTATTAATTTTATCTCACTCCAGTACTAATGACGCAAGGTGTGACATAGTCCCTCTGGCAAAGTTTACATTCTGACAGAACTCACAGACATATTATTATTATTATTATAATCAAGGGGGAAGCGCTAAACCCGGAGGATTATACAGCGCCTGGGGGGGGATGTGGAAGGCATTCAGGCTTAATTCGGGGAACTGGAGCACAGATCCAATTCCCTAAATCAAGAGCCCCTCACCAACATCAAGGAACCTTCCTTGAGGGGACTCACAGACATAACACCAGACACAAACATCTCTATGACGTTCCCCTTTACACAAATTCTATGTATGTCAAAGGGCCTAAAATCTGGAACACCCTACCTGAAAACTCTAGAACTGCTGACTCATTCATCACCTTCAAAACTACCGTTAGACAACATCTTATCTCCTTGATACACCCTGTCAACTAACTACATGATAATCACCTGGTGATTCACACTTACACTCACCCACCCATTTGACTATAAACACAGAAATACGTTTCTTAATCATCAAATAATGAATCCTAAGTAGTCATAAGTTTGCCTGTGATACTACAATATAGAACCTGTGTATTGTGCCAAAACAAAAGCATTCACATTGCTAAACTCACAAACTATAATGTAGTCACTTAGCCTTAATACCAACTTACTCTATAATCTGTAATAATTTAGAGTTAAGAATTAATTTAAGTTTGCCCGAAATGCCTAGCAATGCTAGGTGTCCTAGTGGCCCCCTCTGTATTTAGTATTTTATAACATGTAAACCACACAATATCCAAAATCTGTAAACCCCGCATTGTAATCTTGATAGAGAATAAACTTGATTGATTGATTGGTTGATTGATTTGGTGGTGGTGATTTAACCTGCCAAAGATACTTGTAACCCAGCCGGAGCCGGGCGGTAGTGACATCCAAGAGTCTGCTTATTTTGTTGGATGCACCATAGACATGTGGCTCCTCCTGCATGATGGAATGATGATAGATGGACTGACTGGTGTCAGTCTCCCTGAGTCTCAAGTCAATAAAATTCAGTTGAAGTTCTTTTCGTATTATTGTTCTCAAACTACTACCTGACAAGCCAAGTTTGTAATCTACTCCCTCTTTCAAAGCTTAGCCAATTTATCAGTTCTATCATGCATCCGAAGACCAATGTGAGGTGGAATCCACAGCATGTGCACTCTGACTCCACTGTCCACAATCTTACCATACCTGTGTCTGGCTCCTGACACAAGCATGCCACAATTTATACTTAATGAGTTGAGAGCATTTATGGATGACAGAGAATCAGTTACAATTAAAGTGTCAATCTTAGATACATAGATGTATTTCAGTGCAAGGAGTATGGCAAACAGTTCTGTCTGAAGGGTAGAGGCCCAATTATTGATGCGTGCTTCAATTTCTTTATGAGAGCCATCACTCTGTACGACAACAGCAGCACTACCAGCTGCACCAGTGGATTTGTGAACAGAACTATCAACGTAAATAATTTGCGAGAGTGTGTGGTGTGTGACTAAGTTATCAATACAGCTTAAGGCATCATGTTTGGCTTCAAGGCGAAATTTTGGTTGTGATTTAAGAAGTAGTTTGGGGGGAAATGGAGGAATGGATGTTTGGAATGGGGTAATATCCCATGGAGCGGAGAAGTGTCGTTGTTGCCTAACTTGACATAGATCATGTATCTGATTTATGCGGAGGTCGGTTCCAGTTTTTTCGATCCATCTGGAGGAGTGATCACCAGTGCTGAGGAAAGTTTGGAGGGCTTCTGTGCAGGGGTTTGAATGGGCTGGCCTGAGCATATTAACCCCAATTAGGATATTTCTTTCAGTAACTCGATCTCTGATGCTCGGAATATCAAGTTCTTTTTGCAAATTTAAAATTTTGGCAGTACGAGGGCATCCTAAAATGATCCTCATTGCTTCGTTCTGCAGTTTTTCCAGCCCTCCAAGCTTCCAGTCAGACACAAGAGCAAGTAGTGGCGCAACATAATCAACCAATGATCTAATATAAGCAAGATACATCATTTTCACAGTGTTAATATTATCACTATACCTGGGTTGAAACCCTGGAAAGAAACATAAATGAATCCTCTCTCCTGAAACATGATAGGAATGCGGTATATAACTCAAATTATGGGCTGTGCAAACTCGATATATGTTTAGTGGAGTCTATTGTGTATACCCTTAAACAATAATATTATGCATAATCGCAGGATTGCTCGTTATGCCAGGGAGGTCTCGTGATGTTTTGGTGACAGACCTGTGTCTGCATACTGAACATAATGTTACATCCATCGTGAATATCGATATACTATATAACATATTATGTCTGTTGTGAATGTCGACATATTGTATAACCCATTTAGCTACAACTGCATGAAGGTATTGCAAGGCTACTAAACATTAGTAGTAAGGAAGTAGGCAAGTGGGTTCATTGAGGTATGGGTGCGTATGCATGCGGTTGCATATATTGCCGTGTATGGCAGCGCAGGAGTGGATGACCTGGAATAGGCCAAAAAGAGGCGGACAGTGTGACTTATTTCCATTTGAGATCCTAACCCGTCTAGGTAAAGGTACACATGGTTGACTGCAACTTAGTGATTGCAACTAGTTTAGTGGTTTACAGAATTAAGCTGTTAGTGGTGTTAAAGGATATTGGGAAAATTTAGGAATTGTCTAGTTATTATATCATAACAATAATATTAGAGAGATTCATAAATAATACATACATATTAATTGATACTGAGAACAGTTGTAGGCAGTATTTTGAAATATATGCTGAGATCCTCCTGGAGTTTACCTGGAGAGGGTTTCGGGGGTCAACGCCCCCGCGACTCACTCAGACCAGGCCTCATGGTGGGTCAGGGTCTGATCAACCAGGCTGTTACTGCTGGCAGCACGAAACTGACGTACGAACCAGAGTCCGGTTGGTGAGGTACTGACTTTAGGTGCCTGTCCAGTGCCTTCTTGAAGACAGCCAGGGGTCTATTGGTAATCCCCCTTATGTAGGCTGGGAGATAGTTGAAGAGTCTTGGGTCCCGGACACTTATTGCGTTGTCTATCAGTGTAGTCGTGGCACCTCTGCTTTTCATCGCGGGAATGTTGCATCTCCTGCCGAGTCGTTTGCTTTCACATGGAGTGATCTTCGTGTGCAGGTTTGGTACCAATCCCTCCAGGACCTTCCAAGTGTATATTATCTTGTATCTGTGTGTGTGTGTGTGTGTGTGTGTGTGTGTGTGTGCGTGAGTGCTTGCTTGTGTGTATGCATATATTTGTACGCTCGTGTGCATGTGTCTGTGCGTGCGCCCTCGTGTATGTGTGTGCGCGCGCGCTCGTGTTAGTGTATGATCCACTTAATATTTGTATTTATAACTCATTACAACTGTGACCAGGTGTGGACGTATCAGTGGTTCATTACTTTGTAATTTGTTCATGACTGTAACCATGTATAGGAGTGAGGCTGATTCATTACCTCTGTAACTTGCCATGATTGTGACCAGATCTACCTGGAGTTTGTTACCTTTGTAACTAGTTCAGCTATCATAACTTTGGGGTCCAGTCCCTGGACCCATTATGTACCTTTGTAATATTTTGACTACCGCCCACAGGATGGGTATGTGGTGACTACCGCCCACAGGATGGGTATGTGGTGACTACCGCCCACAGGATGGGTATGTGGTGACTACCGCCCACAGGATGGGTATGTGGTGACTACCGCCCACAGGATGGGTATGTGGTGACTACCGACCACAGGATGGGTATGGGGTGACTACCGCCCACAGGATGGGTATGTGGTGACTACTGCCCACAGGATGGGTATGTGGTGACTACCGCCCACAGGATGGGTATGTGGTGACTACCGACCACAGGATGGGTATGGGGTGACTACCGCCCACAGGATGGGTATGTGGTGACTACCGCCCACAGGATGGGTATGTGGTGACTACCGCCCACAGGATGGGTATGTGGTGACTACCGCCCACAGGAGGGTATGTGGTGACTACCGCCCACAGGATGGGTATGTGGTGACTACCGCCCACAGGATGGGTATGTGGTGACTACCGCCCACAGGATGGGTATGTGGTGACTACTGCCCACAGGATGGGTATGTGGTGACTACCGCCCACAGGATGGGTATGTGGTGACTACCGCCCACAGGATGGGTATGTGGTGACTACCGCCCACAGGATGGGTATGTGGTGACTACCGCCCACAGGATGGGTATGTGGTGACTACTGCCCACAGGATGGGTATGTGGTGACTACCGCCCACAGGATGGGTATGTGGTGACTACCGCCCACAGGATGGGTATGGGGTGACTACCGCCCACAGGATGGGTATGGGGTGACTACCGCCCACAGGATGGGTATGTGGTGACTACCGCCCACAGGATGGGTATGTGGTGACTACCGCCCACAGGATGGATATGTGGTGACTACCGCCCACAGGAAGGGTATGTGGTGACTACCGCCCACAGGATAGGTATGGGGTGACTACCGCCCACAGGATGGGTATGGGGTGACTACCGCCCACAGGATGGGTATGTGGTGACTACCGCCCACAGGATGGGTATGTGGTGACTACCGCCCACAGGAAGGGTATGTGGTGACTACCGACCACAGGATGGGTTATGGGGTGACTACCGCCACAGGATGGGTATGTGGTGACTACCGCCCACAGTGATGGGTATGTGGTGAACTACCGCCCACAGGATGGGTATGTGGTAACTACTGCCCACAGGATGGGTATGTGGTGACTACCGCCCACAGGATGGGTATGTGGTGACTACCGCCCACAGGATGGGTATGTGGTGACTACCGCCCACAGGATGGGTATGTGGTGACTACCGCCCACTGGATGGGTATGTGGTGACTACCGCCCACAGGATGGGTATGTGGTGACTACCGCCCACAGGATGGGTATGTGGTGACTACCGCCCACAGGATGGGTATGTGGTGACTACCGCCCACAGGATGGGTATGTGGTGACTACCGACCACAGGATGGGTATGGGGTGACTACCGCCCACAGGATGGGTATGTGGTGACTACCGCCCACAGGATGGTATGTGGTGACTACCGCCCACAGGATGGGTATGTGGTGACTACCGCCCACAGGATGGGTATGTGGTGACTACCGCCCACAGGATGGGTATGTGGTGACTACCGCCCACAGGATGGGTATGTGGTGACTACCGCCCACAGGATGGGTATGTGGTGACTACCGCCCACAGGATGGGTATGTGGTGACTACCGCTCACAGGATGGGTATGTGGTGACTACCGCCCACAGGATGGTTATGTGGTGACTACCGCCCACAGGATGGGTATGTGGTGACTACCGCCCACAGGATGGGTATGTGGTGACTACCGCCCACAGGATGGGTATGTGGCGACTACCGCCCACAGGATGGGTATGTGGTGACTACCGCCCACAGGATGGGTATGTGGTGACTACCGCCCACAGGATGGGTATGTGGTGACTACCGCCCACAGGATGGGTATGTGGTGACTACCGACCACAGGATGGGTATGTGGTGACTACTGCCCACAGGATGGGTATGTGGTGACTACCGCCCACAGGATGGGTATGTGGTGACTACCGCCCACAGGATGGGTATGTGGTGACTACCGCCCACAGGATGGGTATGTGGTGACTACCGCCCACAGGATGGGTATGTGGTGACTACCGCCCACAGGATGGGTATGTGGTGACTACCGCCCACAGGATGGGTATGTGGTGACTACCGCCCACAGGATGGGTATGGGGTGACTACCGCCCACAGGATGGGTATGGGGTGACTACCGCCCACAGGATGGGTATGTGGTGACTACCGCCCACAGGATGGGTATGTGGTGACTACCGACCACAGGATGGGTATGTGGTGACTACCGCCCACAGGATGGGTATGTGGTGACTACCGCCCACAGGATGGATACTGCTAATAATAATAATAATAATAATAATAATAATAATAATAATAATAATAATAACAATAATAATAATAATGATATTATTATTATTATTATTATTATTATTATTATTATTATTATTAATATTTTTATTTACTATTAGTAGATGTGCAAGGTATACAGGCCTCGCTGACGTCAATGACACATTATATAGAAAGATACTTGTTATGCCGAGCATTTCGGGTAAATTAGGTCAGTTTTGTCCCAGGATGCGACCCACACCAGTCGACTAACACCCAGGTACCCATTTTATACTGATGGGTGAACAGGGACATAGACAACAGGTGTCTTATTGAAACACGTCCCTAATGTTTTCCAGCCATACCGGAGGAGATTCGAACCCCTGACCTCAGTATGTGAGCTAAGTGAGTTGACTAAGAAAATTTTATTCAATACCTTTAAGTCTGTAATGTTTACAGTGTACTGGATAAGATAGTTTCCATAAGGCTGGGATTCTTGCACCTGGATGTTGAAGTCTCCAAGAGTCCATGTGTCTTCCACATCAGGTATTATGTCAGGAAACTCTTCCTAAAATGTAAATAGTTATAAAGAATTGGTAAAAATTAAATGTGCGAATAAATATTAAAGCAAAATTAAAAGGTTACAAATGTAAATATCTGAAAATATTAAGCCAAAAATCATAATAAATTTTGTACCTTGATTTGCTTATCAAAAGTATTTAAGAGCAGCACAAGGGAGCAGCTTTTCTCCACCACTAGTCTCCAGAATTTTGAGAGAGTGACAGGCAGAGGATGTTCAGTAACTATCAGTGCTTCTTTGTGAATGCCAGTTAAGGTCACAGCATTGATATACTGGGACTCTGGTTGTCCATGTTCCGTCTGTAGTTGTACTCGATGGAAGTCTGCAGGTAATACTGAAATATTTCTATTCATTGAGAGAAAGCGCGGATTAGAAGAACCTTTGTACGTGAGTGGGGAAGGCAATGCTTTCATCCTAATAAACTCAGCTGAACTGTTTTTTAAATAACTGTCCAAGGAACGCAGAAGATCTTGTGCAGTTACAATGGTGTCTTCACCGAAGAGAATCTCATCAAGGACCTGTAGACTAAAGTTGTAATGTACTTGACTGTCAGCAAGCTGAGCTCGGCACTCCCTCAGGTGTTTAACTGCCTCAAGAGGATTGAAGTTTCTTTTGATTGTAATCATTTCGTACATAAGAAGTACCTGGAGAACTGTTCCTGTTCTGGCACTGCCTGCTGAGCAGTGGACAACAGTGCCACCTGTTGAAATAGATGCTCTAATTAAATCTTAAACATAACGAGAGCCTAAATTAATACTAGTATTTAATTCATTTTTATTACCAATGGGTTTTATTAATTCCAACTGTCTTCTATAGAGAGAAAAACAAACCAGGAGGAAGCAACACACCTGTACAGTGACTTCTTTGGAAGTGTCGGATCATTTGAGCTAAAGAACTGGCCTCATTTGGTATATCATAATCTGGCCAACTGGTATATTGGTAGTGTTGAACATTACGACTCACTCCAGCCTTTGTTACCTACAGAAAGAATAATATAAACATGAAACAACTCTTTCATTTGAAAAAAATAAAAGGTCATTTATAATATCGGCAATATTGCCTTAAATTTACAGGAATATTATAATTATCACACTTTAATTATTTTTTTTTCATAAAACAAAATCTAACAACTATATAAATGCATTGCATAAGGTATATCGAGGATATGTATTCACATACTCACTTTATGAGAGGAAACTACAACACATAATGGACACCATGCCCAGCCCTTCTAGGGTAGGGTAGGTGCCTGAGCCAGAGCTTGCAGCTCACAAGCCTGTCATTCCCATTAACCCCTCAGCTGTTGGCATGGCCGACGCGGCAGGTTGTGTAGCGGGCTAGCTGCGGGATTTTCAAGGATAGCTCCTGGTCAAAGAGGCTGACCAGGTCCCTACTTAACAGAACTCAGTGTGAATGCTTTGAAAAGATACCAGAGCAGCGAACGGACATCCCAGTGCATCGTTTCAGCGTAAATAGATGAAGTGTTGTGCAATTTTAGAGGGTTTGGTGTTGTAGAGTCAGGACCAGTCAGCGCCTCCCCCCCTCTCCGCTGGGGGGAGGGGGAGGGCGTGTGTAGTAAACAGTGACCCTCTCATAACGCCTCACCCCTGCGCGTCTCCTCCGCCTCACCCACCCAACTCCCAGCGCCACCCCGTCTGTAGAGGGTACTTCTCCCCTAACCCACGATGACACTGCAGGGAGTGCCGGGCTCACAGGAACTTCCACTACAGGGACAGCATCGTGGAGTTCGACCGCGAGGCAGCTGCCAGGTGTGCCACAGGCAGTGTGTACTCAGTTCCTCAAGCTTCAACATCCGTACACACGAGGGCCTGGGATCTTCAATCAACTTGGCGTCCACCAGACGCTGACATGTCCCTAGGACAGCTCTCCATCGGGCTGCTAACGGAGTCACTGGCTTCTTGGACCTCTTGGGGAGGGTCGATGGTGCTCGTGCAAGCAGCAGATCCCGGGGCAACTTGCTGCTGTTTGCAATGGCTGTCTGCCGAGGAGAGACAGGCACCTAGCAACATCTGTTGTTGGGGCAATGGATGAATTCCCTACTATGTTTGTTAACTGCTCATTACTCTGTAATTTGTCTATGATTGTAATCATGTCATAACGTGTTTATCATTCATTACCTTTGAAACTTGTCATAATTTTGACCAGCTCTACCTGGAGCTCATTACCTTTGTAAATTCTCATGATTAATGTGTTTATGATTCATTACCTTTGCAATTATTCATGAGTGTGACCAGCTCAACCTGGAGCTCATTACCTTTGTAACTTGGTCATGATTATGACCAGATCTAGTTCATTACCTTTGTAACTTGCTCAGCTATCAAAACTTTGGAGTCCAGTCCCTGGACCAATTATGTACCTCTGTAATCTTTTGACTACCGCCCACAGGATGGGTATGGGGTGCATAATAAACATATTAAACTAACTAACTAACCATTAACCCCCCTCGGGCGGGGATGGCAGACCAGAGAGGCCTAGCTTCTCCCTACGAGAAGCTAGGCATGGGGACAGTTGGTCCCAAAGATGAGGGGGTACTTGTGCCACCTCCCATGGGAGACTTAGGTCTCAGACACTCCCTAAAGAGGGAGCCAAGGCCGGGCCACCACTTGGAAAGGCCCGGGCCGGGAGAAATACTGGCGAGTCTTTAATAATAATAAAAATAACTACAACAATTCTAGGTCAAACTGACACTGTATTTCCTGAATGTTCTGGAAGGTTCTGTGACACCGGTCGACAAATGAGGGATTTTTTCCCTCTATTTCATTAGTTAGAAGGTTGTCTGTTACGATTCACTATCGTAACTTTTTACATCACATGTCCTGTTCCCAGTGGTTGGAAGCTTGGGGTTGGCTATTGACTATCTTCTAGTATTTTCCTCATGCTATTTGCAAACTGTGAGGCCTACCCTGACCCGACTCCACATGGGATAGGGTGTGGGGGGGACCAGTGTGTGGGTTGGCATCCCCACATGCCTTTCCCCAAAAGTTTGAGACTGGGCCCGGGGCCTTTACACTACAACTCTCTGAAAACTTACCCTACTTCTCCTGTTGTTTGTCTTTACTACATTGTACAGCTCCTGAGATGTACTGGGGAAATGTGGAAGGATTCAGCTAAAGATTTCACCCCCTTTGGCTTTTCTTACATTGTTAAGAACGCCAGTCTGCGATTTTTTTGCATATATATATTATATAATATATATATAAAATATATATATATAAATATATATAAATAAATATATTTTATATATATATAAAATAAAATATATATATAACATATATATATAATATATATTATATAAATAAATTATATATAATATATATATATATATATATATATATATAATATATATATATATATATATATATATATATATGCAATAAGATCACAGTAAAACAGAATATGCAAAACAACCACTCTGAAAGAATAGAGAAATTCCAAGCGCTTTCGTGACTACTCACATTATCAAGGAACTATCATTGCCAGTTCCTTGATAATGTGAGTAGTCACGAAAGCGCTTGAATTTCTCTATTCTTTCAGAGTGGTTGTTTGCATATATATAATATATATTAAATATAAATATATATATAATATATAAAATATAAAATATATATAATATATAATAAAAATATATATATATATATATAATATATATCTTGCATCTCTTGCAGCCAAAGCGACATTTTGTATTTTTTGGCGACTATTTCCATACAAATTTCCCTTTTCTTGTTTAAATGTGGTGTAATTGTTGGTGCCTGAAAGTTGATGGCACCGTTGGACTGTCCGTCAGTTTTAATTACCTAGAGTGCTTCTAGAACTAGTGTTACTGGTAAAATAAGCTGTGGTGTCATTGTTGTCAAACGTCCAACATTAACTTAAATATGCAACATCGAGGACCTGTCTGCCGATTTTGTATTGAAGAGAGACGAATTTTAAAACCCACTTGCCGTAAGAAAAAAAATTGGATAATCTTTCAGTTGCCTGGGCTTACCACACAGTTTGAGGTATGGCAGATGATGAAGCCAGCCAGCCACAAAGCCAGGGAAACAGTGCACCCAACAATGAAAGAAGAGGCACATGTCAGGTGTGCGGAGAGTTTCGAGCACGCAACAGGAATGGTAGCATTCGTGCACACAATGGGTGTGAGGGATCACATATGCCCCGAGTAGAGAGCAGCCCACAGCCTCCACAGGCAGATGACAATTCCAATGGCAACCTCCTCACTTGCGATAACCTTCTGTTGGCATTCAAATCCACTGCTAACAGTACCCTATCCCACATCCCTAAAGCGGCTCGCCCATATGCAGTAGGGAAATTCACAGACCTTCTTAAGCAGGTGAATGGAGGTTCCACCAACTTAGAAGCCCGAGGCACCATCCAAGCATGGCGCAATCTGCTCCTGTTCGGCAATGTCTGTCTTGCAGTTCCTGAGAGACGAGGCAAACTGCTAACCACGTCAGTTATCAAGGCAGTGCGCAACTACCCAAGAACGGATAATTGTGTCCCTCTGCCCCATCATCGCAGGAATCACAAAGGTAGACCCAAGAAAAGCCTCACTGAAAACGAGAAAATTTGCGCACAGATTAGCAAAAAAATTGAAGAAGGTAACACAGTGGGAGCAATCCGAATAATTACAAGTGACGACACTGTAGCCCCCCAAAGATGAGACCACAGCCCAAGCACTAAGAGACAAGCATCCAACCAGGGACACCATAACCATCAACAACAACCCTGAGGAAGACCCCATCACTGAACAATTAATTTTGCCTGAATCGGAAGTCTATAAGGCGACTGTGTCATTTCCTGCAGGATCTGCAGGAGGTTACACTGGAATTCGACCTCAGCACCTCAAGGAGATGGTAAATCCAGTACTCGGTGCATCTGCATCACTTCTTCTCACCGAGTTAACAACTTTCGTCAACAACTGCCTGGCTGGGCGAATCCCAGAAGAAGTTAAACCTTTCTTTTTCGGAGCCTCACTGTGTGCCTTGAAGAAGAAGGATGGGGAAATCAGACCCATTGCGGTTGGAAACACTCTTCGCCGTCTCGTGGCGAAAGCTGCAGTAAGAAACATTCGCCTAGAAGCTGCCAGTTTACTCCAGCCACACCAACTGGGCTTTGGAGTCCCTCAAGACAGTGAAGCTGCAGCTCATGCGGCAAGGGCCTACATCAGGGACCTACCAGAAGACAAGGCTGTAGTCAAACTTGATTTTAGAAATGCCTTTAATATGGTAAAGAGAGATGCTGTCTTGCCAGCTGTTCGGGATCGCTTCCCCAGTCTTTTTCCCTTCATCTCAGCTGGCTACAGCAAACCCTCAATTCTTTTGTTTGGGGAACATGAAATTCAATCATCAGAAGGTGTTCAGCAGGGTGACCCACTAGCTCCGCTTCTCTTCTGCTTGGCAGTAAGAGAATTAACTTTCAGCCTACGCAGCGAGCTCAACATCTGGTACCTGGATGATGGCACTCTGGCAGGTACTGAAGAGTCCCTGGTAGGGGACCTACAACTGGTGAAAACACAGGGAGAAGACTTGGGACTCGTCCTCAATCCCTCCAAGTGTGAAATCATCACAGCGAACCAGGAAATAACCAATGCTGTGCGAAGAATCCTCCCAGAAGTCTCTACTATAACTCCGTCCAACAGTACCCTCCTGGGAGCACCGCTGGGTCACCAGGCCATCGACACAGTCCTCAAGGACAAATTGAATGACCTGATGAGAATGGAGGAGAGAATAAGCAATCTTGATGCCCATGATGCTCTGTATCTCCTCACAAGGTGCCTTACTATTCCAAGACTCACTTACTTCCTGAGGTGTGCACCCTCTTTTGACAACCCAACACTCGACGAATATGACGCACACCTGAGGTCAACCCCTTTAAGAAGGCACTGAACCTGTCACTAGAGGATCAGCAATGGGATCAGGCAACCCTCCCAGTGCGACTGGGAGGTATAGGGGTGCGCA